AACGTCCTCCACAACTAGACTGAAGAACAAAAGGACAGCAACTTGTCTGTTCCCCTTCCCCCAATTCCCCAGCACTGTTCCCATCCCCCAATTCCTCAATTAAAAAAAAAATCTTAAAAAAAAAAAAGTTCACTTATGACAAGTGTCTGAGAAAAGAAGTGTGGCGTTGGGGTATTATAAGGACCCAACAGGGGCATTTAAGCTGGTCAGGGAGGTTGAGAGCCTCTCAGAAGTGGTCCTTAAGCTCAGATGTGGGGAGGAGGGTGCGATCATTGACTTCCTCGGAGGGAAGGACCTTCCTACAAAAGGAAGCCTATTAACACAAGGATCTGAGATGAGGGCAGTGTGAAGAGTAGCGAGAGAGGGAGGTTGGCCAGGGAGCAGGCAGGGGCCAGGCGGGGCGACACCTAGGCCATGATAAGGATGCCCTTCGTTTTAAAATCAGATTTGCATTTGAGATCCCTCTGGCTGCAGTGTAGATGGATCAGAGGGGGCCAGAGTGGCACAGGGCAGCCTGGCAGGTGGCTGTGACACTAGACTCGGATGCAGGCAGTGGTGGCTTGCACCAGGATGGGACGGAGGGAGAGAAGTAAGCTGGTCTGAGAGCCATGTGGGGCAGTTATGTTGATTTGGCAATGGAGTGGATACGGGGTGAAATGTCCCTAGTGAAACTCGAGTTCTTAGCTTATGCAGTGAGATGGATGGTAATGGGATTCTTTGAGATGAGGAGCTTACTTCTTTACTCAACAAACATTTATCAGACACAGAGCTAGGATCTTTGAGAAAATAAACAAGATATAGTACATTCAGGCATCACTTAACAACAGGGATATGTGCTGAGAAAGGGGTTGTTAGGCGATTTGGTCGTCGTGGGAACATCACAGAGCACTCCCACACAGATGGTACAGTCACCTCCCCATCCAGGCTCCTGGGCTACTGGCCTGTCAGCCTGTTTCTGTACAGAATACTGCAGGCCACTGTAACACAATGGTATTTGTCTATCTAAACATATCTAAACTTGAGAAAGGAAAAATACGGTATAAAAGATAAAAACGGTTCACCTGCATAGGGCACTCAGCGTGAGCAGAGATCGCAGGACTGGAGGTTGCTCTGGGTGAGTTGGTGATTATGAACGCATAGGACATGGCTGCACATGACACTGTTTAAGTGACATTATAGTTGTTTAAAATTTTTTCTTCAATAATAAATTAACCTTAGCTTAGTATAACTTTATAAACTTTAACTTTTTGACTTTGTAATAACACTTAGCGTAAAGCATTGTACAGCTGTACAAAAAATTTTTCTTTATATCCTTATTCTATTAGCTTTTTTCTATTTAAAATTTGTTTTTTAAACTTTTTTTGTTAAAAACGAAGACACACACACAGTAGCCTCGGCCTCCTCAGGATCAGGGTCAATATGTCATCTTCCAGCTCCACGTCATCCCATTGGAAGGTCTCCAGGGGTGCTAAGGGCATGAAGCTGTCACCTATGATGGCACTGTCACCTTCTGGAACATCCCAGAAGGACCAACCTGAGGCTTTTCTGGAGGAGGTGTCACTATTTTCAGAAAGTGCTGACTTTGGCTTGTGGCTATGTCACTAGGCGATAGAAAATTTCCAGCCCCATCATAATCTTATGGGACCACCATCCTATCTGCGTTTCCTTGACCTTGGCATCGTGATGCAGTGCTGCCCTTGTTTTCAAGGACCTTACAGTCTAGTAGGGAAGACAGACTGGTGGTGTAAGATGCTGAGCTCGACCTGTTCTGGTCTGAGTCCCATGGGGGCCTCAGTGGAGGAACGGCAGGGGTGGGAGATGGGAGGCTTTAAAGGTGTGAGGCAAAGCAGCATCTTGTGGTCAGCAGGATCACACTTGGGAGCCTCTTAGAAATGCAGCACCTCGGGCCGTACCCCCTTAGAAATGCAGCACCTCGGGCCGTACCCCAGAACTGCTGCTCCTACATCGGCCCTTTCACAAGCTCCCAGCTGACTTCTGTGGGAAGTGCTGGCCCCATTATGCATTCCGAGGCGCGCGTCAGGCCCAGCTAGCTTTATACCTGGCCCCGCGTGCAGTGGCCCGACGGTCTGGGGCAGGTTAATTCATCTTTCTAAGCTCCAGTTTTTCTTCTGTAAAATCGGAATAGTCATCCCCCCTTATCTGTGGGGGATCCATTTCAAGCCCCCCAGTGGATGCCTGAAACCATGGATGGTGCCAAATCCTACATGTTGTTTTTTCCTATACATACATACCTACAATAAAGTGTAATTTATACATTGGGAAGAGATTAACAAAATAGAACTATAACAATATAAAATCTCTCTTGATTGCGTCATTGTCTCGAGGCTGATTTAATCTCATGTTGCTTTGTACAGTAACCGGTTGTACAGGTTTGTAACCCAGGAGCAGTAGGCTATACCACAGCCTAGGTGTGCAGTGGGCTGGACCAGCTAGGTGTGTATATGTGCACCCTGTGATGTTCCCATGATGACAAGATGGCCTACCTATGCATCTCTCAGGACGTTTCCCTGTGATTCTGAAGCACACAACTGTACTATAATATAAGTGTGAATGTGGTCTCTATCTCCCAAACCTTTTTTTTTTTTTTTTAAGATTTTGTTGGGGAATTGGGGGAGGGGAACAGCACTGGGGAATCAGGGGAAGGGGAACAGACAAGTTGCTATTGTTTTGTTCTTCAGTCTAATTTGTGGAGGATGTTGCTTTTACTGGCCCAGGCTGGTACCATCATTGCGCTCTTCCCGGGTGAGGCAGATCGGTCGTCGGCCACTGGACGGCCGCTCACAGTGGCTGCTGGCCGCTCATGCTGGCTGCCGGCTACACATGGTAGCTTATGGCAGCCCCGCCCCAGGTAGAAATGCCATTCACCATCTTAGCTGTAGAAGGCAGTGTCACTGGCCCTCATATGTGGGATCCGAACCGGAGCCCTCTGGCATCCCAAGCCAGCTCTTAACCAACGTGCCACTTGCCCAGCTCTATCTCCCAAATCTTATTGCACTACACTCACCCTTCTTCTTGTGATGATGGGAGATGATATAGTGCCTACCTGATGAGATAAAGTGATGTATCAGAATGGCATGCGGGGAGGCCAGTTAGCTCAGGCAGTTAGAGCACAGGATCATAACACCAAGGTTGCCGGTTCGATTCCAACATGGGCCACTGAGCTGCGCCCTCCACAACTAGATTGAAACAACAACTTGACTTGGAGCTGATGGGTCCTGTTCCCCAATAACTGTTCCCCAATAAAATTTCTTTAAAAAAAAAGAATGGCATACAACTTAAAACTTATGAATTATTTCTGGCATTTTCCATGTAATATATTCAGACCATGGTTGACCGTGGGTAACCAAAACTGCAGAAAGCGAAACTGCAGACAAGGGGGGATGACTGTAACAACCAAACCTCCCTCATAGGATCGCTCTGAGGATGATGGGATCATGAGAAGTGCCCAGCCTGGTATGTGGCACTGAGTAAGGGCTCACTCCGGTTTTGAAGGTTTTTCTAATCGGGAGAGTTTTGGAAAGATCACCTCATCAGTGATCAATCTCTTTGATTAAAAGGATGAACAGTATCTCTCATCACAGAAGAAATGCAAATTCTTTTACCTTTAGTAGCCTTTCCCATATCCTCCCCAGAGTAAGTGATGACGAAAACAAGAGGAAGCTGGAAGCTTCTAGCACTTGCTAGTGGACTTATAGAGGTCCAGCCCCTTTGGTCAGCAGCCTGGCAGCACTCAAGAGGAACTGGGGGTTTCACACTCAGTGACAAGTGACCCAACTCCTGGATACACACCTGAGATCTTCCCCAGGGTCCCCAAGCATCACTACAATACTTACAGTAGCAACATCCTGGGGCTAGAATTGGATTTGGCTCTAAGGGACAAAAATCCTCAATTAGCAGAGATTGAAACAAGGCAGAGGTTCCTCTTTCCTGTGAAAGCCCAGAGGTCATAGGTCAGCTGCACGGGGCCAGTGAGGTCCTGCATGGAGGTTGAGACTCAGGCTCCTTCTCTCCGTGTCTTCTGCGTGGCTTCCATCCCCAAGGTCACTTCCTGTCAGGAGGGTTGCTCCATTTCCAGTCAGCAGCGGGAAGAAAGGGAAGGAGGGAGCACACACACCCTGGAAGCTGCACACCTCTTCTCTGGAAGCCCTGTGAGCCTGAACTGGCCCTTGGCCACACCTCTCTACAACAGAGGCTGGGAAGTGCTGTATTTATTCTGAAGTCTCTGTGCTTTGCTAAAAACCAGGGGTTTTGTTACTGTGGAGGGAAGAAGAGTGAGGGGACAGCTAATGGTCTCAGTCACAGCAGCTGTAGTGAGGGTCCCCTGAGGGCCACAAAGACAGAAATCCCCAATACATGTACTCCCATTTATTGTTGAGACTGGATATATAATTTTAATATGTTCAAATTTATTAAGACATAAAAGATCTGAAGAAAATGAAAGCTATGCCATATCATGTATTATTTAAATGTTATAAAGGTTCCTTTTTGTCTTTCCCACATTACAAGTTCAAAGGAATCCCACATTCCAACAACAAACATTTTAAGAATGTGATACACTTTTGCCAAAATTATACCACATATAGTGAAAATTAATGGCTTTATTAGTAGACACCACTGAGAAAACTGGCTCATTATACAGTGAAAATAAAACTCAGATCTCGTGAAGCTCAAATAGTTTTAAAATATTTGATATTTAGCAGCCAGTACAGCCTGGCATCAACGATGAGAACAAATGTGTGCCCATGCAGAGCAGACACCAGCCACTGCAGATGCCAGCCTGTACTAGCTGGGCTCCAGCCCTATGTGGTGGCCTAAATGTGAAAGGAAGAGCAAATAAGTGAACAGAAGAACATGGAAACTATCTTAACTACCTTTTATATAAGAAATCGAAAATCAACAAATAATGAGACAAAATAGTTAATCCACCTACATCAAAATGAAACATTTCTGTTCAGTAAATGACACCCCGAGATACACAAACCCAAATGCCACTCTGAGACCTATCTGAAACTGCTAGGCATATACAAGCAACTCTTGAGAATAAACAGACAGGAAGCCCCCAGGAACAAATGAGAAGTTTACAGAAAGGGAAACCTTTCTGGTAGATGAAGACACTCCCTAATTCCTGATGATCAGATGAATGGACCTTAAAACACAGTGCCACTCGACACCCAGCAGACTGGCAAAAATTAGGAAGTTGGGCAATAAAAACACAGGTGAGGATGAGGGGAAACGGGAAGCGTCCAGTGGGAGGGTCAGGGACCATCGAAAGAAAAATGTGGCAAAACCACAGAGAAAGAAAAACTGGGTGAAAAATGTGGTAAAACCATGACCCCATGCTGGGCACCTAGGCTAGAGAACTTTACACAAGCGTGGAAGGGGACATGTTATAGCACGTTCGCCGTGGCCTTGTCCCCATGCCCAGGGGCTGGAGGCACCGAGGGGAGGGGCCCACTGAGCGAGCACGTTCAATAACACGCCGCTGACGCCCACTGCAGAACGCCACCGAGTCCCGAGCAACAAAGCAACACACAAGTGAGAAAAGCAGCAGCACAAATCTACAGCACAAGAGCACAGACATAACAAGGAAATCCACATGTACTGCACTGCGTTTAGATTCAAGGACAAGCAAAGTCCAACCTAGGATGGATGCTTATGGGAGAGGGTGGCATGAGGAAACAGGGAAAACCATAAAACCAGAGAAGCCTAGCACGGACCATAATCAGATCCCCAACAAAAAGGCTCAGTGTTCTCAATGACGCGTTAAACAACGTGTGAGCACCAGCAAAGGGCTCAAAAGGGTCCCGGCATGAGTCAGATGGCCGAGAACCCGCTATATCCTTAGAGGTGGTTCCCTGTCTGCCTCTACTTAAGCCCCTGCTCGTGTGAGCGTGATCATTTCTCTCCCTGCCAGACCACACCTGTGCACGTGCCTTAGGCAAACTTCAAATGCCACCAAGGCCACTGCTGGGCCTAGACTGTAGCCTAAATCCCAGGTCTGGAATCCCATACTCAACCCCAGTTTATTTCAACCCCTCTTTAAATATGAGCAGCTTCATAAAATAGACATTTTGGTGAAGGAAAGGGTGATGGTGGACGGGTGATGGTGGACGTGACAGGCGAGGGGTATCCCGGGAGCTGTAAAACTCAGCCAGCCTACAGAGCAATGACGACCACACAACCAACCAGGTAACTAACGGCCTGAACCCAGAGCTAACAGGACAGGAGGTCATATGTCATGCCTTGATGTTACTTCCGCTTAAAGATAAGTGCTACCTCAGCTTTGGCCAGCCCTTACAGGGCCAAAAGGGGGCAGCCATTCTTCCTGAGTCCAGGATGAGCCCCAAACAGGGAGTGGGGTTTCAACTCCAGACCTCAATGAGGTCCCCAGATTCCAGGCCGAGGTCAGAAGGCAACTCCTTGCCTGAAAGTTTTGTCCCGTCAAAGAAGAAGGAGAGCTTGTGGCCCGAGAGTCCCATGGCCTCCTCATAGCGGGACATGAGGGTCTTGAGAGGAGAATCCTGGATAAACAGGAAAAAAATTAATGTAAGAATGTGAAAAGGGCTGGGGAGGGCCGGCCGAGTGGCGCGTTGGTTAAGAGCTGGCTTGGGACGCCAGCTCTGAGCAGCAGGGCCCTGGTTTGGATCCCACATGAGGGCCAGTGACACTGCGCCCTCTACAGCTAAGATGGTGAACAACAGCTCAACCTGGAGCTGGGCTGCCGTGAGTCGCCGACGTAGGCTGCAACCCCTGCTGCAGTGGGCTGCCATAAGGTACCGTGTGCAGCTGGCAGCCAGTGTGAGCGGCCGGCAAACAGTGTGAGCTGCCAAGAGACGCCATGAGCAGCCGTCCAGAGGCCGGCGACCCATCTGCCTCACCCACAATGATAATACCAACTTGGGCCAGTGAAGCGATATCCTCCACAACTGGACTGAAGAACAAAAAAGGACAGCAACTTGTCTGTTTCCCTTCCCCCGATTCCCCAATAAAATCTTAAAGAAAAGGGCTGGGGAGAATTTGTAGGGACAGACAGAGGACCTGGGACAGGGAGGACAAGGCAACAAGTTAAGTCAGCACCCAGGGAGGGAAGGTGAAGGGACGAAGAAGCCAGCACAGCTGGTGTCTCTCCTGGAACCAAGCCACACAGCCCAAGGCTCAGGATGGAGGCGCTGGGCCAGGCAGGTTCTCCAAGCCCCATCTCCTCACCTACCAAGGAGACCCTGAAGAAGGGAGCCCAGACTCTACAGTGAGAAAGATCCAAGCTGGAGGCCAGGCTCTCCTACTTACCTGGATGTGTGATCTTAGCAAGTGTTATGGGTTGAGCTGTGTGTACCCCCCAGAAAGATACCTTGTGGTCCTAACCCCTGTTAGGTGTGAGTGTGCACTTATTTGGAAATAAGGCCTCTGCAGGTGTCATCAAGTTAAGATAAGGTCATGCTGGATTAGGGTAGGCACTAAGGCAACATCACCAGTGTCCTTGTAAGAAGTACACAGGAAGACATGGCACAGGGAGAATGTCACGTTACAAAAGAGGAGCTGAGGGACGTAGCTACAGGCCAAGATAGGCCAAGGACTGACAGCCACCACACCTAGCAACCAGGAGGAAAGAAGGATTCTCCCAGGATCTCAGAGGGCGCACGACCCTGCTGCCGCCCTGATCTCATATTTGTGGCCTCCAGGGCTGAGAGGGAACACATTTCTATTGGTGTGAGCCACCTGGTTTGTGGTACTTTGTTACAGCTGCCCCCGGGACCCTAAGACATCAAGTCACCCCACCTCTCGAGACCTCAGTTTCCTCATTTAATGAAGGCAACAGCAGTGCTTTCCCATATAAAATTGTTGTGGAATTCGATCATATCCTAAATGTGAACTATTGGGTCGTCGGGAAAGTCATAATGCATTTTTGCATTGAAAAACAGAAAAATACATCATGACTTTCCCGAGGACCTAGTAATTATCCTTAGAACAGGGACTGTCACTTATGAGTGTCACTTATTTGTTATTTTGATGGGGTTTAGTGGTCCTTTCCATTTTAACTGGAGCAGAGGTTCCTGGCAGAAGGGGAGAGGGAAGTTGACCCATGGGCTTCTCCCATGATCTAGGGTGTGTGGGAACCCAAAACCAGCGAGGGCAGTGTCTCCAGCGAATCAGGACTAGGAGGCTCCATCCTGGTTAAGTGACTGGAGACGGCAGAGGAAAGGGTGGGGGCCTGGAGAGCCGTGTCTTCCACTTACGCGAGACAGCGAGACTTCCAGCATCTGGTGCTTCTCCTTCCCCTGCACCCGCAGCTGGAGCAGATGGGATGTGTCTTCAAGCTCTTGAGAACTTGCTAGCACCACGCAGTCTGGAGGAGGCAGGAGGGGAAGCCAGGCCTAAGAAGGGGTTGGAAGCAGGGCCCCGCCTGCACCTTTCCCCGCAGCCCTTCCCTGTGGCAAAAGCCTCGAGGCCCCACCTCCCCGCCTTCCTCTCACCAATGATGTCTGCCACTCCAAGCTTGAGGGTCCTTGGGGTGGCGGTAGGAGACAGCTCTGTCTCTCCAAAGAGCAAGAGGATTCTGCTTGGTGACACCCCGAGATGGGCAGCCATGTGGTCCACCACACTCTGCAGGGGCTCCGACTGGGGAGGGGAACAAGCAGCAGGGGAGGCCCCCCTCCCCCGATATGCCCCATCCCTCCCAAGCCCCGCCCCCAACAAGCTTCGGGCTTTTGTAACTCGCTGAGCTCCTCAGCCCGGAGTTTCATCCTATTTACCCAGCAAAGTACAGAATAAAATCAGGTCAATAAGGGGTTCCGGCAAGTAACACAAAGAAATGAAGCAACGTGGGTTTGGAGCAAAAAGGGGTGCTGGGGACCGCGGCAAAGGGAACTCACAGGCCCATCTAAACAGGTCAGCTGTTCCCAGCTCCAGAGGATTGGCAGGGAGTGGGAGGGAATACAACCCGTGTGGCTACATCTCCCTACTCAGGAGAAGCCAGACATCTGAGCCTTTGTATGAAACAAGGATGCAAAGGAACTCACATGTCGTAAAAGCACTCTACAGGCCTGTTGACAAGGCCACGAGCTACCCAGGTGCAGCCTCTGGCTAGCTGCTTGCCCAGTGCGTGGTTATGGCTCAACACACGGTCAGTTCTGTTATCATTCTTATCTTTGAAAGGAATCATCCCAACAAAAACAGTTTTCACCAGGAAGCTGGTGGACTGTAGACTGACTGAGTGACATCTGTGTGTCTAATGCTGTAAGAACATTAAGCACATTAACAGAGTCCAAGGGAGAGGGACACACCCCGGGGAGGGGGCTACCAAGCCAAGTTTCTGAGGGCGCATAAGTGGAGCCTTGAAGGATGGGTGGGAAATGTGCCAGAGAGGAAGACACCGGGCAGAGTGAGTGCAGAGGTGCGGAGGTGTAAATGAGCTGGCTTGGTCCAGGGGGAAGGATGGGCATGGAGGACAGGGTCCCTCTACCAGGCGCCAGTCTCTGCACAGGCAGCTCCCGGGAGCCTTTTGCCACAGGCGCTTCAGGCACTTACCATCCTGATGGGCAATCGGACCAGGTCAGCACGGCACCGGATTTTGAGAGGGAAGAGTCGGGGGCTCTCGGGGAGCACGGGGCCCTCCACGAGGACCACCTCGTCATCTTGGCTCAGGTGGTCCTGGCCCTGGCGCTGCTTGGGACTCAGGCAGGAGCGGAGATCCTGGAGGCGCTTGTTCACCTCCCTGGGGTGCAGAAAGGACTGCGGGTCAGCTGGAGGGACTAAGGGGGGCCAGCCTCCATGCTGCTCCTCTCCACCCAGCCAGAGCCCCCTGCCCTGGGCACCTTAACTTCTGCAGTGCCCGAGTATGCTTTCTGCTTTTGGTCCTTGGCAGAGGTGGCGGCAAAGGAGAGGTGTCCTGAGCCCTGCGGAGAAAAGAGATGGGCGAGATGGAAAAAGAGGAGGGACCCCACCCCACACCTCTCCTCATGGGGGAAGGAACACCTTCTGGTAACATCCATCTTATACAAAGACAAAGAGAGGAAATGACAGGGAAAACCTGGGCATCCTTTTCATATTTACATGACGTAATTTACATGGGGGGGGGGGAAATGCTTAACTTAAGGTAAGTCACCTCCCAGGTAACACCGATCACTTACTATATGCCAAGTGTTAACTCTTAATCTATTCAAAAATTTCTGACACAGGTACCACTATTATCCCATTTCACAGAAGAGGAAAGTGAGGCACAGAGGGGAGCCTCGTAAGGCACCTGGCCTGATCTGAACCATAGGACGGTCCCCAGAGCCACAGCCATCACCACTGCATCACTACCGTTTCAGACACAAAGAAGAAACACCCCACTCCCGTGGGCGGTCCTGAAGGGCCCACTATCATTCTGTCAAGTGGGTATCTCTGCTCCCAGGAGCTTCACTCCTCCCCGAAGCCACAGGACTCCTTCCATCCCATCTCCTCACCCTGTCAGGAGCCACTCAAGGATCCTGCCCGCCTCAGTCTACCCCCCAATTCTTTTCTGCTCCTAGGGCCTCACTCACAGAGACACCTCCTCTTTCTTGTCTTCTTCTTCATCCTTACTCCTCAGCTTCTTCTTCCAGGGAGAATCTGTAAATGGGGGATCCTCGGCGTGGGGACTGCTGGAATCTGCCACGTCCCCCTCTGGGGACAGAGGAGAAAGCGGAAAGGGTTAGCCAAGAGAGGGCAGCAGGGAGCTAAGGAGAGGAGATGTGAGGGACTGTGGGCTTCAGGAAGTCCTCTGAGAGGAGGAGCCACAGGACTGCATGACCACACTGGGGAAGTGCTCCAGGGGTGGGAATCAAAGGGAAATGCCTGCCGCAGAGAAAAAGCAGGAGCTGGAGTCTGAAAGAGAAGAGCGGAATGGTGTCCCAGTCTTGTGCTAGCGCATGAGACAGTGTGGCAAGTGTGGACAGTCGGGAAGTGGTCAGCTCTAATGAAAGCAGTGTTCTCACTTTTTTTTTTTTTTTTAAATATTTTATTGGGGAGTTTGGGGAGGGGAACAAGTCGCTGTCCTTTGTTCTTCAGTCTAGTTGTGGAGGACGTCGCTTCACCGGCCCACGTTGGTGCCATCATTGTGCTCTTCCCAGGCGAGGCAGTCACTCGCCGGCCATTGGACAGCTGCTCATGGCGGCTCATGGCAGCTCACGAAAGCGCACACCAGCTGCCGGCCAGCCCC